CATGTTTTTTTTTTTCATAATTTATGAATTTTATATGAACAGTGTACATTCCATCACTTACTTTAAAAAATAAGATCATTAAAAAAGTTGGAATTATATTTTTCAACAGAAGTATACTTTTTGTAGTAGAGAAAAAATATGGTTACAAGTTTTTGAGTGGGTTATGTCCAGATCATAGTTGATTTCATCCTCAGGTTTATGGAAGCAGAATTCCATATTGAAGACTGGCTTTCTCATTTGGTATACATGAAAATTTCTGCCAGATCCTGATAAATCTGATTTCAAGTTGAATGTATATTGAAAGGAAAGGAGTCTATGTACTAAGTGAAAGAGTCATTTTGAAATTATAATCAAGAAAAATACCACCTATACCAGTGGGGGTGCAGATAGTCAGAAAGCACCAATTTAAGAAAAAGTTTTAAACTTAAGAATCAGTCTCCTTTTACCTTGGGATCTAATGCCACTTTCATCTCCAATACAGATAAACAGTTTTTGGCTATGCGACTGTAACGCTCTTTCTCTGGACACATATCAGGACAAGAGCCAGTAACCTTCTTCCTCTCAGTCTCTTCTGATTTAATATCTTTTTTAAAGAAAAATAAAATTTTAATGCAAGCCACACTCTTTACTTTGCTTATTTGGTCAAACACAAAAAAATGTTTAACAAATTAAAATATTACATTTAAAAAATAAAATTTATTTCATTTTATTTTTTTGGCTGAACTACATCTGAGAATATAACTAAAAACCAAAAATCAGTAATTGTACTCAAAAATGTATAAATAAATAACAGTACAGGTTGTTATTCCATTGCTAAATAAATATAGCAAAACAACATACATAAAAATTTTGCTATAGGTTTAAAGCTATGAAATATTAACTACTAAATAAAATATTAAATTATGAAAACTTAGAAACAAGGTGTTTAGTTTAAATTTTGTTTGTTCCGTAAACAATGGACAAAAAATATATACAGCGCCTGATGATATACAACTTAAAAATTTGAAATCTCAAAGGAAAGGGAAAAATATGTGAACTTTTATGGTTTTGAATAAATTTTGGCACAAGATAAAAATGTTAAAACAAATGACATAAAATTAGGATTAGTAGATACATAAGTATAAAATAAAAAAAAAAAAAAAAAATTCTTCAATAAAAGCCCCCCCCCAAAAAAATCACTGTGAATGTTTAATTTTGATCCATCACACAAAATCACAATAATATTAATATTAAATAATAAAGACACTGTACATAGGTATTATGGAAAAATAGCAACACCTAGAGCACTAAATTTTGAACATATGTAGTCTTCCATGTGAATAACATGTGCACTTTAAGGAAAGAATTTTAAATTTATTTATTTATTTCCTATTTTGTACAAATTTAAGGAATTTTTTTAAGAAACTTTCTCATTTATAAGCAACGCATTGCCACTTGGAAGAGGATAGGATATATATGTTTCAGATTTAATCAGAAACTGGTAATTTAAAAGAAATGTGTTGCTACTCAGTAAACTGTACAATATTTGTCTTTCAAATTTAACCACCAAGGCAAAGCATTAGACGTTTGTCTTTCAAACTTAATCAACAAACTTGGATACGTGTTGCACGTGACAAGAAATGTGTTGCCATTGCCCTTATCATCAGTGCACCAGCATGTTACTATTTGGAAAAGTACAAAATATTTCATTTCTTATTTCTTTCTGATCATCCACAACATCCCTGAAAAGTATACACAAGCCATGTGGCAAACCAAGGATGTGTGAATGCACAGCAGATAACAGCCAATTTCTGACTTCAAATTTGATGGTCTTTCCCTCTAAATGTTTATTTTTTGGCATTTGACACTTTTTTTTTTTTTTTTTTTTTTTTTTTTCTTGTAAGGTATCATAACAGTATTGGGGAGTTTGCCACATGATGGAAAAAGGCATTGCATTACATTTCCTAGGAAACATGGCTTTTGTTTAATAATACAAAATGCAAAAATTTACATTCCATGAAATTGTACTTAATACAGTCAAAAGTCGTTAATTTGGACACCCGTAATCCGGAATGATCTATAATCCGGACCTCAAAGCTAAAATCTTTCTGCGCATGCGCATAGGCGTTTTACTCGTGCGCGCAAGATCTTTACGACTGCGCATATGCATCTGCGCAAGTGCAGAATACGTTTTCGCGTACGCTTTTAATGTATAACGGACGGTATAAGGCTAAAATTATCTAATTATCTATTTCATTAATGCTTATAATTGCGTTGTTCCTTAATCTTCAATTGGATCCGCTTATTATTTTTTGCAGACTGTAAAAGAGCAATTTCTAAAGTAGCTAAAAAGTTTTCTAAACTTGAACTTTCGATTATGTCAAATAGAATTTCCGATGCTGGAGCTCCAAAGGATCTAGAAAACGAAAGTATGTTCGATGTCCATCAAACAAAAACGAATTGCTACAAAAATGATAAAAGCATATCCTTTGTTTATCAAACCGTCCGAAATCTGTTTTCAATTTCACGTTGCTCTCGCGGGGGGGGGGGGGCACGTCGCGGCGCACATGAACTGGAATTGATCTGTCACACTATCGTTATCTTCAGGGCAGATGTTTTTATTTTAGTCGGCTTATAATTCCTTACTAAATGTAGTCTTTAATTTCGATGTACTCTCTTTGATATGATTTAATCAAATTCCTCGTCATTATAAATATCACGAATACAATCACATAGTTTTTTCTGGTTGCAATTTGTAATTTTCGGCTATAGTAAGGTATGCTTACGCACGCGCGTTAAAGAAATGTTTAATAAAGTAAACAATAATATAGCTTCTTTTTTGGTAAATTTGGATACCCTTTAGATCAATTGCTCCTTATTTTATAAATTCGGTTTCCATATTTTTGTTTTTATAATTTCTGCATGCCATCTCCCAGATTAACTGATGATCTATAATCCCTGAAAATCGATAATCCGGAATCGCCGAAGTCCCGACGAGTCCGGATTAAAGACTTTTGACTGTAAATGTTAAAAAATTCAACATCAAAATTTGTGCAATTCTCCGATTTTTTTTTCTCTTTCATTAAAGCAAAAACATATTGCTGTGTTCATGCACAGAACAAAGTATGCAGGGCAAAGTTGGGTTAAATGCTGAGCTCATGGAATTTTCAGGTGTTTATTGAAACAAAAACAGACAGCTTAAGTTACATGGAGAGGACAATGGGGGAAAAAAACAGGCTCTCCTTTTTTTTTTTTTTTTTTTTTTTTGTCATCTGCATTTTGATAACTAGTTGTTTTACAGAATTTTTGGTGTGGCACATTATTTAGAATGAGTGTTTTCTTTCATGACTAAGGCTTGGCAATAAAATAGGATAATCAGAAAGTATCAATTTTTCTTTCAAATTTAATCTCTCTGCTCTCAGTTAACAAGCTAAGCAACTTAGCAATAAATGCAGTCTTTCATCTTTGTTTAATTACTAACCACTAAATTGACTTAATAAATTTCACAAACTGCTGTCACTGAAATTATTATATACAAGGGCTATCCAGGAAGTTACATTTCGCCGCAGCTAGCATCCCCAATTTGGTGTTGGAGTATCTACTGAATCCTTATGCATTCAGCTGTAATTGTTGGCAGTATATGTTGTCTCTGCTTTGTTCACTGTGAATGTTTAAAATGTGTGCGGCAATAGAAAAGTTATGAAGCCAGTTATGAAGTGTGATCAGTAATTAAACTTTTGTTCACAAAAAACTGAGACCAGTTGAAATTTATCGAGAACTTTGTAAGGTGTATAAAAACGAGATAATGAGTGAAGCCAGAGTGAGACAATGGTGCATCATGTTTAAAAATGGCCACACTAACGTTCATGAGGAAGCACAAAGTGGCCGGCCAAGCACTGTTAATGCTGAACTGGTAGAGAAAATTGATAAAGATTCATGAAACCTGCCGCTTCACAATTTTGAAGCTCTCACTAGAGTTTCCTCAAATTTCATAACTTTGTTGTTTGGTGTTGTAATGCAAGATCTAGGCATCACAAGTTTTGTGCCAGATGGATACCGAAACTCTTCTCAGATGACCACAAAAAGCAGTGCATGGCAGCAACCTTGACATTTCTCGAGGCATACCACAAACATGGTGAATCACTTCTTGATTATATCATGACAGGAAAAGAGACTTGGGTAAAGTTCATCACTTGCAATACAAAACAGTGGAGTCACACAAATTCTCCCAGAAAACCAAGGAAATGTTTACAAACTGTCATTAAGAAAATCATGGCAACTGTTTTCTGAGACAGGAGGATGTGTTTTAGGTGGATTACCTCTAACATGGTGAAACAATAAATAGTGAGAGATATTGTGAAACATTAAAGAAATTAAGAACAATACAAAACAATCATCAAGGTAGTTGAGTTCCAAGGTTTCTTTTTTTTTTCATTCGTGACAACGCACGCCCCCCCCCCACACACACAGCCATTCAAACTCGACTGCTCTTCGATGGTTTCAGATGGGAGTTATTTGATCATCCATCATACAGTCCAGACATTGCTCCTAGCGATTTCCACTCGTTTCCATACATGAAGACCTGGCTTGCAACACACGCTTCGATGATAACAAGAAACTGCATGCAGGCGTTCGTGTGTAGTTGAAGTCTCAGGCGACAACAATCTACGACAATGGAATTAAACAAGCTCATGTACCGTTATGATAAGTGTCTATACAGAGATTATGTAGAAAAATATCTGAATAGTGTGCCTTTCAAATTTAAGTAATAAAAAATTTTTACTTTAATTTCTTTTTTTAAATTCTAAAATAAAAGTTACTTTTTGAATAGCCTATGTATTTTATTTTTATAATAAATATTTAAGGTGGTTGGCAGTGAACGTGGCTAGTAATATTACTTTAATATATTAAGTTTTTGCAACTGAACTTCATGCAAATATGATCATATTGACAAGTTACAATAGTTGATATTCTGGATAAATAATCTTGAAATGAATATTCAGTGATTTAAAATGAAGGATATACAACTTAAGCTTTGAGGAATCCTGATTAAGACCTATTGTTATTACTTTATTTTGTAAATTCTAAATATTGTAGTAGATCTAATTGATATATATGCTCAGAAAAATGCTACATACACATTTCGCACTGCCTACAAAAATAATATATCCATATTTTGATTTATTCTTACTTTATAACCAGTTTCTAAGAATTTCTTTAAAATGCCTATCAAATTTGGCCAAAATTTGAATAAAACTTCTTCCCACTTATTTTAATTTATCTAATAAAAACAGAAATTATAGATAATCTGCTCCATTTCAGCTCATATAATATACAGGGTTATCCAAATTAAACTTCCCCAACTCAGAGGCCCTCACCCTAGTGTTGTATGGGTCATAATATGATGAAAATTTAAAAACAGACACTTCAGATCATGCGCTCAAGATTTATTAAACAAAAAAAAAAAAAAAAATTGTAAAAGTTGCCGATAGGTGACGCTCAGATTAACAACATTCTAACAATGTCTTTGTGTGCTGTGGTTCTCCACAACACTTTCCATTCGCAAAGCAGTGTGTTCCACAGCGGAACGCATTAAGTCCACATTAACCCTGTTGGAGTCACCTCTTCAAAAAAATAAGGTCCAATGACGAAGGTTGCAGTGAAACTGCACCATACAGTAATCTTTGGGGGGTTCAAGGACACTTGATGGATTGCGCGCGGGTTTTCACTTGCCCAAATGCGGCAGTTGTGCGTATTCACTTGACCATTCAGGTGAAAATGGGCCTCATCCGTCCAAAGGATGTTCCACAGCCAAGCAGCATCGACTTCCATTCTGGCAAGGAACTGCAACGCAAATGTTTCCCGAACTACAGGATCCCCGTCGGACAGCTGATGACGACTATGGATTTGTAAGGAAAATAACCGAGGATTCGACAATCACACGCCAGACGGTCGTATAGGGCATATCAACAGCACCAGAAACAGTTGGCACACTGACAACACCATGTGGCGATTGGCTAGTGGGGTCCACGACCGCCAAAGCAACGTCTTCTACACGTGCAGATTCCACAACCTGTCGTCCTCTACCTGGTAAAATTCCCAGCTGTCCCGTTCTTTCGAACTTCTTCATCATGTCTCGTAGAGCGTGTGGTGTCATTAGTCCTTGGCGCAAGATCTTCAGCCGACGGAATGCTCCTATCGCAACACAGGAGTCACTCACTCGTCATTCTGGTAGAAAAGTTTCACTAACAGAGCTTTGTCTTTCAAAGTCGTCATTGTGCATCAGGGAGCAGGAAACAACTGCTTGTGCAAGGCCTGTCTTCCACTTTTGTAGGGCTCGTCTTTTGGATACGTTGCACAGAAACTTTATTTCTGCAAATCACGTTGCTGCAATATGCACATTACTAGTGTTACAGCGCCACCTATCACCAACTTCTTGTACTAATTTTTTTGTGTAATAAATCTCGAGCCCATGATCTGAAGTGTCTGTTTTCAAAATTTTATCACATTATGACCCATACAACACTCTGCACAGGCCTTTGAGTTGGGGAAGTTTAATTTGGATAACCCTGTGTTTTTACAAGATTAAGAAACTTGTAAATTAATAGTATGAATATTAAAGAAGGAAAAACTGTAACATCAGGAAAAGATCAAATTACCCATTTTAAAAATATTATTCTTACTTAAACGGATAAAATTGTCTCTTGCATTAAGAACTTTAAGTCGTTCCTGAGCTGTGAAAGCTGGTTCCTCCATAATTTTTAAATGCTGATCTGAAATTAGAAAAAGACTGTACTCATAGAATGATTTTAAAACAAAAAAAAAAAAAAATTACAAATATTAAACTTATTATTACACAAAAAATATGTGTAGACATGCTGTTTTAGAATTACAAAGAATGTACCTTCAAAAAACATTATGTACAGGGTTCGTACACATTTCCTTACATGAAAATTAAAGACTTTTAAGGACCATCAAAGAAAAAATTAAGGACCTATCAGCAAACAAACAAACAAACAAAAAAATAGAATAAAGCAATTATCCATTTAAGAAACTAACAGAAGTGTGTATTATGCTCTATTATTAAATTCAATTTAATACTTAACATAAAACAATTTTGAAAATTAAACTAACTCCCTACAAGTTATGAAGTAGATAACATTAAATTAAGAACATAATTTCTTGAAAAACATGTATAAGTGTATTTTACACTAATAACAGCCACAGATATTTTAGAGATTTACATGATTATTATTTAACTTATTTGATATTTATTTAATCACAGTCAACTACTATTATAATTGCAATGTAAGAATATTTTGCAGATTAAAATAACAGATTTGTAAACATACAATTTAGTTCTTTGGTTTTTTAAAAGATACTAGAATAATAAACTATACAATAAAAGATACAAAACATTTATGCTTTTTTTAAATCTGAAATTTTTTCAGATATTTTAACATCTAATTTATTTATGTCTATTTCCTTTTCTTTAACTATTCTTCTAGGTTCATTTGCTTTGATAAACAAATCAATGTTCCTGCTGGTCTCAGCTTCATCTGCTAAAAGCATCTATCTTTAATTAATATCTTTAATGTCCCTTTGAAGAAATTTTTTCTTCTGCTTCATATAATCAATTCTGTCCAATGTGACAAGAATTATTTTCACTATGTGAAAATCATGAAAAAAGAAGGAAATGGTCAGAGAAGATTTGAGGATCAAAAAAAAGGTTTGTCTTAACTACGAGGGTATCGAAACTAAGTACCGTTTTGAAAAAAAAAATAAGTAAAACAATTTTTTCGAAATCCAATTTTATTTTTACATGAAAATACATGTCTTAAACTATTTTTCAACATAGTTTCCGCCAATGATCAAACACTTGTCATAGCGGGTGACCAGTTTTTGTATACCATCGTCAAAGAAACTTCCCGCCAGTTTCGATAACCACGACTCCACAGCATTTTTCGTGTCATCGTCAGATCCAAAGCGCTTGCCACCAAGCTCGCGCTTCATGTGCAGGAACAAGTGATAGTCGGACGGCGCCAAGTCCGGGCTGTACGGCGGGTGATCGAACTGCTCCCAATGAAACTGTCGAATTAACGATTGAGTGACACCAGCAGTATGGGGCCGAGCATTGTCATGGAGCAACACAATTCCTTTACTGAGCATTCCTCTTCGTTTGTTTTGAATGGCACGCCTTAGTTTTGTTAAAGTCTCACAATATCGTGCCGCATTAATGGTTTCACCTCTGGGAAGAAATTCAGTAAGCAAAACGCCTTTCCTATCCCAAAAGACAGTGCACATGATTTTTTGTGATGACATTGTCACTTTGAACTTTGTTTTTTTTTGGAAAATGAGTGTGTCTCCACTCCATCGATTGTTGTTTCGATTCTGGTGTGAAATGACACACCCAAGTTTCATCACCTGTCACAATTTGGTTTAAAACGTTTTCTCCCTCATCACTGTACTGTGTGAGAAATGTCAGGGCACTACCAAGTCGCTTTGTTTTGTGAACATCAGTGAGCATTTTTGGAACCCATCGGGAACACAGTTTGCGATAATTCAAGCGGTCAGACACAATTTCGAACAAAACAGTACGTGAAATTTGTGGAAATGCCTCTGAAAGAGTTGTCATTGTGAAGCGTCTGTTCTCATGAATTGCTTCATCAACTTTCCTTACCAAATCATCGGTGACAACAGAAGGCCGACCACTCCGAGCCTCGGCGTGGACATTTGTTCGACCTGCATTAAACATTCTTACCCACTTTCTCACCATTCCATCACTTATCGCGTATTCACCGTAAACTTCTGTCACTTGACGATAAATTTCGGCCGGTTTAACATTCCTCGCGTTCAAAAATTTAATCACGGCACGAATCTCACAGTCAGCGGGAGAACTAATTGTCTTAAACATTTTGAATGTGCACAGCAAACTGAAAACACAACATAGAGCAACCAAAATGGCGACAATTGAAAGTCAGTGAACAAGAAAGACTAGTGCGCATGCGCGGACGCCTACCACAGCGCTGCGACGGCGCTAGAATGACGTCCACTTCAACAACTAGTATTGTCTAGATCTTCCAAACGAGCAGACATCCACCGTGTTCTTTTTCCGCTAAATCCTTAACTTTATTTTTTGGGCTTTTGGACTTTAGCCATGAAAGATCTTTATGACATTTCAGGACAATGTTTAATTGTTAGACCTTGTTGGACCTTCTGTTTCAATGCAAAAACTTGCAGCGTGTGAAATGTCCTTCTTACGGTATTATCATTCATTAACTGCTCAGCAACAAATCCCAATAAACTTTACTTTTATGTTTCTATAATAATTTGGATCATTAAAATTAAATTATAAAGATTTTCTGCTTTAGTTATTTTTGAATATTCTAGTTTCAAAATTTTAAAAGTGCTAAAAGCAATCATTTACAAGTTTTTAAGATATCTTCAGCAAAAAAGGGAAAAGTGTTTTCGCTTTGATAATTCAGGAAGGCAATAATATTTTCGACAGAGAGAAAAAAATGTAATTTTATAAAATGTTTAATCTTAGTTGCCTCCAAAATATTTGAGAAGGATTTCAATGAATTTTTTTTAAAACTTGCCCCACTTCAATTTTTTAATTATAGTAGCAAGTCATTCATATTTCAATGGCTCTTTCAACTGCTGGGACATTTGAAACATCGGTAAAAGCAGAACTTCACAGCAGAAAATTTTAATTAAAACATTATTTCTTTATCTACCAGATGATGGCGCAAAGATAAAATTCTGCAATAATTGGTTTCATGTTAAACAAAAATTGAATTTTCTTACGTCCAGAACCCTTACTTTTTGGCTCCCAGAACCCTAGGCCTACTCTATGTCTTACAAGTTCATTTATTTAGTAAGTATGAGAAGTAAAGGGGATATTTTAACACTTAAAAATGTACTATATCGATAAAAAATTGCGACATCGGGAAATTCTAGGCAAGCATTTCTTTCTGCGAGATTCCGTTACATCGCTAAAATTCCCATAAGAATGCTATATTGGCAATACCATGAACACATTTTCTCCATGTAAGCAACCATTCTGCTTTTCAGTCATTTTCTTTTAATTTATTAATCTTCCATTTCTTTTATATTTCATTATCATTTCAACATTGACTTTTTATTCAGGATTTACCTTTTATTTTAATTTCTAGTTATAAATAGGTGAAATTAGCTTAATAACGAAAGATAATTTCGATCATTATCACAATGAAATTTTATATCGACCAGCAATTTGGATAACTGATGCGATATTAAAATTCAATGACATTCTTCTGAAAGCAGTATTCGGTTGATCTTAATAAAATTCTAGATTATGGTAACTTGGCGAAATTTGAAAATATCGCCACCAAAATGACCCGTTTAACTACTACTCTCGTATATGTCCCATTACTGCTCATCATAAGTCGCATAAATCCCTTATGCAGCGAAACCTTGTACATAGGATTAACCAATACTTAATGTCTATTGAAGCTTCAAAACGTATTTCCGAACTCCCTTTTTCCATCAGCGTTACCGAATTGCCCTTGCGACCTAAACGAAATGGAGCCAACAGATTTCCTGCGAAATTTGATAACAGACCCTCTGAGAAAAACTCACAATCCCATCCCATACATATATGTGCAAAGAGAATAAATTTCGTAGAAGGTTATCAAAAATTAATTATGGCTTAATTCAAACAACACAGAAATTGAGGTAAACAAAACGTGTAAAAACAAATTGAAATTATAAACGAAATTAGCTTTTATGTGAATTTTCAGCGCTGACTTCCCACTCTAGAATTTCATTTGTTTCCGACAAAGACCACATTTAGCTTTAAAGATTGTCATCCATCAATATCCAGTCTTGTAGTCAGCTTGATGAAGCAACAGGTTATTGAAAATGCACTTTCCAGGCATCTCGCTCCTATTGACGTCAGAGCGGTTGTGGCCTTCAGGTTGGGATTGTTCCAATTTTGGCAAATATTTTCAGAATCCTTCGCCTTTTTTTTCCTCGACTACCTTCATCATCACTTTCACCTCTTAAAGAACTTCCGGCTTCACGCTTTCATCACAATCTGCCTAAATTTATGGATAACACCTGTTCGAAAGATTGGGTGAATAGCCAATCAGACCCCTATACTTTCGTCCTAGGGTAGTTATTATTTTTTATCTTCGCAACGCAAATCCCCACAGATTGGTTAAGCCGTGTAATTTTAATTCATATTCATGAGAAATCGCAATTCCACTTGAATGCAATCATAGAAATGATAAGAAATGTCAAATGAGCAAAATTAAGGACCGTTTTTTATTTTGACAAAATTAAGGACTTTTAAGGACCAAAATCATTTTTGAAAAATTTAAGGACTTTTAAGGACCGTAGAACCTGATGTAAATTTAGTTTAAAAACTGAAGCTATAATTTCAAGTCAGTTAACGACAGGATAACATTTTAAATTGTAGTGGCCCTTTATTGCATGAGAAATAATTATTTTATTCGTATATTTGTTCATGTTTTAATTATTTTATAAATTAACTTTAATATTTTGTTAATATTCATATTTATATTTCTTTTATGCTGAATGCCAATAAGTAGTTCATATTTATATTAAATTTCTTTTTATGTGATGGCAACTAGTTCTATTCTGATTCATGATGCTAGGTTTGGTTTCAAAACGTTGCTCGTAGCGTCGCATTTCGATAGCCTGGAAAATAAAATGCATAATTAGCTATTGTTTATAATTCTGCTGTTACTACTCAGAAATTAATTTAACA